TTGTCTGACCTTCTTTCTCTTTATGGTTGTAGTCCTCCAATCTTTTACAGGCATCTGCAAGCGCATCATGTAGCTCATTCATTGTGTATCAGTCAAGTGGGGCTCGTCGGCTGAAAAAATCGGGTTCTCAAAGTTGCAATCACAAGTATCCCCTTTTGAGATTGTCTCGTAACACATTCCAGATCTCCATGTAAGGTGGATAGTACCTAAGTAAGAAGAAAAAAAATGAAGAGTAAGTTAGGAGAAAGAGAGACTTTGTTTTCTCCAGCTTAGTTGCTCGACGCTGTGTTGTAGCGGACTTGCGCTTTTTCCTAAATCCCTTGTCCATGATATGCCTACGTTAGTGTGTGGTTCAATATCCATTATGGAGCCTCTCACAACAACTAAAGTTATTGGTACCAACTGGTTTTTGACAGCCTCTCCTAGCTATTTCAAACAACACTTCTTAGTTTTTTTAGTGAAAAATCTGCTCAGCTGTGAGATATGATAGTGTGTTCAGCTCCTATTTTTAGTTCGGGAAAGACAAAAAAAATTCAGTCAAAATTATATTAAGGAGACATCTGCACCCCGAACTGCTCCGCAATGGTCTTCTCAGCATCTGGGCCACCAATTTCTTGATTGGCCACTGTTGGAGTTGGACCCGAAGGAATGGCGGGTGGAGGAGTAGGAGAGTTCTTCATCCGCGCCCCGAACTGCTTCACAATGGGCTCGACCGCATGTCGGCATATTACCTTCTTCATGGAAGGCTGACATATGGCCGTCTGTCCACCTCCACCATTCCACTTTCCAAGACTCTCCTCTCAACATCACTTTAGTCAGAGCCACCCTGTAGGAAACATATCCATCCCCCAACTGAACTTCACTTTTTTCATGGAATGCTGGCCCGTGACCGTCTGTGCACCTCCACCATAAGGGGTTTCCAAGATTCTCCTCTCAACGTCACTTTAGCTAGAGGGTGGGTATGAGAATTAAGTCTAGGAAACTTATTGATAAGGATGTTGGATGACGATGGTCTTGCGTAAAGAGGGGTTAGTTTTTTTTTTTGTTACGTTTAGTAGTTAATAGGTTTACATGCATCAGTTGGATTTTGGGTTAGTACTTTTACGTGTTACTTCCATGGGGTTAGTAGTTTATGTGTTGTGTGTCATTAGTGTATGGGTCTAGGGTAGTGGGCAGCATGGGCCGAGTGGGATTAGTAGTTAGTGTAGGAGTCTTCTTAGTGCGCCAAGTCGGATAGGTGGAATAGGGTTTACGTATTAGCGTTTTATCATTACATAAATGATATGTTCGGCATTTGTCCGCTTTTATCAAAATCAATAAACAAATAAAGGCTTTTGATAGTGTACATCGTTCCCTCGCTTGTTAGTTACAAGCAAAACTCTGGAACCGTGAGTTACAGTTCATCATGTATACATCCCCCCAATGAGTGTATAGATTCGTATTCATACCAGCAATGTACCCGACGCTCCGTAGCGGGATGAGCTCCTGAAAATACATTCCAAGAATAAAATTTTCGAGTTTCGGGGTTCAAGAAACCAAACAAGATGAAAGAACATAATATTTTCATCCAGATTATGTATATATGGTTGCCATGACATATCTTATCAAGGATGCAGATGACGAGAATGATATGAGTGAAGTGTGAAAAGGACGTTTCGAGAAAATTGTCAAACTAATGAAGCACCAAGTAGCTGATCTAGAAGGAGTTGGTGTCAAAATAGAACCGAAAAGCACAAGAACACACAAAGTAGTTTTTTTAACGTGGTGACACTAATCCCCGTACGAAGAGGATCTCATTCTCGGGTTCTAGTTATTATTACGGCTTAAATAAAATTTTCAAATCTATATCGACCCAAATTTATTACATATGCTTCATTTCCAAAATCAAAGAATTCAACACAAACATTCATCTTTTAAATCCAACAAACAAATTAGTCATAAATCCATACATCTTTTTTGACAACTTCAGTTATGTTATGTATTCAGCTTCTATTGGAGAATGCTAAAAAACTTTCCATCCAGGTTGCAACACCAAAATTTAATCAAAATATGAATTCTAATTCTGATCGATAATCATCTTAATTAATGGGAAGCTAGCACTGAGTTATTCATTTACAACAAATACTCCCTCCATCATTTTTTGTTTTACTCTTCCCTGTTCACGCTCTGTGTTTGCAGGCGTTTTCTTTCCTGTTTTTGTTCTCTTTTGGTTTGTTGTGTCTTCTCCCTTTCATGTTTTGTTTGTTCATGTTGGGCTTGGGATCACACCTCCAACTAATGATGTGAAATGGGTTGGTATGGTGGATGAATGTGATCCATCTTTTTTGTAAATGATAAAATTTGGATGGGTGGCAGGTGAGTGCAAATCATCCAATATATATTGTATCACTAATCTACATTATGCAATAATAGGCTTATATTTTCTATCTCAAAATGTTAATCGTGATTGATTTAATTAAATTATCATAACCATTTTCAATAAATTTTGTTTGATTTACAACATAAATTATTTCAAAAATAAGATTGTTGATGCTAGATTATGCAATAAACTACACTTAGTAGTTATCAATTTCGTTGAACTTTGTAACTTTTTTATATGCAATTAGGCAATTATAAGCTTTTAGGGCCATAATTATCTTATTAATTATTTGAAAATTTGAAAAACCACCAAACTCATCCACCATCTTTCATCACCCAACCATCCATAATGGTATAAATGAGTGGACATGAGTAATTTTCTCATCAACTCAAAATTGGGTAAATGTTAGCCTAAAAACCCAACTCATGCATTGCCCTCCCCTGTTGGGATTTTGAATAGTGTGAATGGAAATGAAAAGGGAAAGAATCAAGAGAAGCTCTTGAAGTATCACATCGGTGAGACGTGGGAAGATGTCGCCTCGTATTCCATTGATTTGATGTAATATGTGGGTAATTGGTTAAATTGGTTTGTGTAACCAACCGAACAAACGAGTTTGAGTCGAGCCAAATCAATATTGTGGTTGGGATAACCCAACCCTTCAACTACCATAGGACCAAACCGATGCAATAGGTGAGAAATTTTAAATGAACCATTGCAAAGGTTGGGGTGTAACCACCAATACGAAGAATCGCCTCCCTTCATACTCTATTAATAGCACCTATGCCCTCTGGTTTTGAAAGTCGTTTTCCCCTAACCAAAAACTCTGTCAAAATCCAAAATGATTTTCAGCATTTTTTTCAAAAGAAAAATCGAGTCAAGTGTGGTTCTCGCAGATTCTAAGTTCTCGATGGTTTCTGGGGTTTGAGGTATTGCGATGATGGAAAGGTACATCCTTTCTATCTTGGGAGGAATCATTCCATAACCTTGGGTTTCATAAGGGAATAAGATTTCTTAAGGAGAGATATTGTATTTTGTCGGCTAAGACGATTGCATATGTTAATGTTTGCATGGTTTTTGTGATCTTACATGTTACTTATTTTACAATAAATTTAGTATACGTGAACAATTTGGATAAGATTCCCTACCCTCAACAACCTTGAATGTATCCTAATAGTTGTTTGCAACTACTTTAACATCCCTAAAGAATAGTTTAGTGACTCTCACCTAGATTTAGTTGATATATTGTCTTGTTACACTTAAAAGCGGGATTTTGATGATGTGGGTAATGGGTTGAATTGGAATTTTGATGATGTGGCGGGTTTTGCTGACGTGGCAGGTTGGATATAATTTTTTTATTAAAATAGGCTTATTGGACGATCCTGTTAGCCACGTCAGCAAAAAAATGACGCCATTAACAGAGACTAACCGGGAGTGACTAAATTTGGATGATTTTATGGGTTGGGTAATGGGTTGAATTGGGATTTTGATGATGTGGCGGGTTTTGTATGGCGGGTTGGATATAATTTTTTATTAAAATAGGCTAATTGGACGATTATGTTAGCCACGTCAGCAAAAAACTGATGTCGTTAACAGAGACTAACCGAGACTAACCGAGAGTGACTAAATTTGGATTATTTTATTAATTCTAGTGACCATGAATAATTTTAAATATTTCGAGTGACCAAACATAAACTCTTTTTGGAATCTCAGTGACCAACCATGCAAGTAACCCCTTAAAAATGTAATAGCAATATGTGGTGTCGTAAAATTCCTAACTAATTAAATGTTATTTACTGTACCTTTTGTCTTTATTACTATATATATATATAGTTATGTTTTTGGTGCACTCAATTTTTTTTGGTGTATTTAATGCACCCGCCTCATAATCGTCATTCTGATCAGACGTTTCATGTGAAAATGATGCCAATCATCACTTGTGGTATGGTGAACAAGAATCACACGAATTTGTACAAAAACCATTCAAGATTCACTTTAATTTGAATGATTTAGGGTTTAGGAATTTAGGGTTAGGGTTTACAATTTGAGATTTTGGGTTGGGATTCAAAATTGAAGGTTAATAGGTTAGGGTAATGGATTAGTACTGATTCAGTGTTATAACATTATATTAGACTAATGCTACCCATTAAAGTTCAAAATTTATGTATTATGACATCTTTAAAAAAGTGAGTACACCGAAATAGCCATCATATATATATTTTCATGAAAATGCTCCATTTTTTTATTTTTAATCGGATTTCCAGCATTGCAAAAATATGTTTGGATATGCATTGTACGTTATAGATAGAACTATTATTAGCCCTGAAAATGGACAATTATATTAAGCAAATTAAACTGAAAAAGCATGGTGGGGTGTTAGACTGGTTTCGCATGAAAAAAAGCACAAAACACTATTAAAACTGTATCATCTACACATAAATATAAGGCAATGTCAGGGTAAATATCTTGCCACGTCAGCCGCTTCTCAAAGAACCGCACACTGCGGAAGGACTTTCCGGTAAATTCCCTATTCCCTTTCTTCCAATTTCCTACCCATTATCTATATAAAAAAAATTTCCTGCCCATTACAGATCGGAATCCCAATGCCTTGCCGCTCTCTCTAATTCCTTCCCTGGTTTTCAAGACCAGCGGTCCTGGAAACTCTTCTGCTCCTCTCACACTGTCTAGGCGTTTGTGTATGTCTCACAATAACTCTCGAAATCAGTTGCCGGCGACTCTCTCTCGCTCTCCCGATCTATCACGCGCCGCAGTCTCTCTCGCTCTCGGAAGAATTCCCACCGCCTCTTTCTCTTTCACGAAGTCTGTCTCGCATCGTAGGGTTTACAAGTTTACCCCATTCATGGTTCGAGTGCGGCTATCACCCGAACATCACCGCCGCCTATTCGGAGCAACCTCCCCCTCCTCTGTAAGTCCCCTTAATTTGGCCTCTTATTAATTTGGCTTTTGAGGATGTCAATGTATATGGGAGTTTATCTTCCCCTTAATTTGCTTCTGAGAGCTAACTATCTCCCTTCAGAGATTCAGTTTGATACTGACCTACTGTTGCATACTTTTGACGATATTAAGACACAATTTGCTGACTGATTGGGTACCTTTGTTGGTGGGTTTCTTTTGGGTTTGCGGAGATTGCAGCAATGCCACCCAAGGGGCTTCGCAGTGATACTTAATCTAGCCAGAAGAATCAATTTTCATCCACTTCCAATTCTGCAACTCCTCAATGTAATATGCTCACTTTGTTTTGATGTTTTCCTTAGATTGTATGTTGTATATGCACTAAATTGTAAGTTATTTGATTTGTGTGTTCCATCGTTCATTTGTTAAGGAAAGAAAGGGATATATGTGTCTCACCTAAAGGTCCAACTCTAGCTAAAGTCGACATTGAGAGGGTGCGCATCGAGGGTGGTAAGGCAGAATCTACAGCCTTTGATTAATTTTAATACAATACCAGTTGTTCTAAGCTTTTATCTTTCTTATTCTTAGTTATTAACAACTTGAAAGCCGCCTCCTTCACATGGATGGTCATATTGCGACATTAGCTAGGAGGAGAAGGAATTTTGTTTTGATGGTACATCGGATTCATAGAGTACGGGTTGTTTCAGTCCCAAGTATGAATCTCTGCCTTTCGCTTAGCTTTGTATGATAGTAAGAACACTTTTAATAGCTTTCGATCTTTTGATATCGAAGCTTAACAATGGCATTGTCTACTTTGAACTATGATGTGATTACTAGGATTATTTTATGAGTTCAAAGTGAGCCAGTCACGATTGGAGGTTCTAAAATGCATGAATTCTGAGCGCTAAGAGAAAACCAATAATTAGTCTGGATAATTGGGTTTTAGATGGTAAATAATTGGGTATTTGTTGTAGTTTTCATATTATGCGTCTTCTGATGAGAAATATTTAGAGATCCCTATAATCAATAAATTATACCTCTTGACAGTAAGCTAAGTGTCATCTATTTGAAATAATTTCACGATATGGCATGAAAATGGGAGAGCCACTCAAAATTGAATGCTTATTCCTTCCTTCCTTTTCTCTTAAAGATATGGCCTATTCACCCAATAAATGAATCTTTTTGTCGACCATTTGAAAAAAGGAATGTGATGTAATTAAAGGGAAGGGATAGATACAAACCAGTAGCATCCCATTTGTTTGTGTAATTTGCCCCAACAGCTCACGTTTGTGTCAGTTTAGGACAGGGGCAACCTGCTTTTATGGATTGTCGACCTTTAAGTAGCAGAAACTTCTCCATGCTAACATAATTCTATCTTATTTTCAGTTACATAAGCAGGTTCCACCAGAAGCAAAAAAGGGAGCTCGAGTTACAGGTTCTAGATTCCAATATGGTATGACCCTTCAAACTCATAGATTGGTTTCCCCTTTTCTTTTTAGTCTTTGATGATACTGACCAAGCCTGTGAAATCAAAAGGGAAGTAAGCATGTCGAATAAGTTCACATAAACAGGGGAAATCAAGAACTTGAATTTTTGGTCATTATCATGCCGCAATCTGTCTGCTTATTCTTTTCCAGGGGTTATCAAGTCAGTTACTTTTGCTTAATAAATTTATGTTCCCTTCATGATTAATATCATAATAATATGGATCCACTAAACTTTGCCTCTGTGATGGGAGGCCATATGCTCAGTTGCAAATAACAACTAAAACTGCTTCATGATAAGATGGAGAGAACCATAATGGTGCTGAGTATAATGATGTAGGCTTTTCACTTTAGAAGTTAGAACCATGATGGTGCTTAGTACAATTTGATATGGGCTTTGTGGCTTAAAGTAGAATGGCTTTTAAGATTGCTACTTCTTTCTTATACATTTGAGTTGTTTTGTACGGAGCTCAATCAATAGGGTGTTTGTGTTTTTACTAAGAATGTTCATTATTCTATTGCAGCGGTTGCATGAATGAATGAAGTAGATATGGTGGCTGGAAGATCATATACTTTACAAAAGATGATCGTCATCATCAGTAGTCTCCTTTGAATAGGCAAAAAATAGTTAAAGTCCCTTTTGGAACCAATGAGATAGAGAGGCATGATTAAGAAAGAAGAAATAACTTAGCCTGAGTGCTATTTCATGAATGTGTGCGTCTGTAGATTAGGGCCAACAACCAGTACCTTCTTCCCATTGTAGCCATCATAAACACAGAACATGTATGAATGTGGTGCTTGCTTGGTGGATACTATATTGTATCAACGTATTTTGCTTAGGATGGATGTGATTATGAAACTTTTGTGGAACTCCATCACGGCCTTTTGTATCCCTTTGGCTCTTCTTCTTTGTGTCCGTGTGTGATTCATTTTTTCTGTAGGATGACATTTTGCTCGCCACTATGCAGCAGCATGAATGTTGTCTCTCATTAAGTAGAAGGATAAATAACAATTTTGGTTTGCACGGGACATAATGACGGACTTGAATGTTGGTGCTTGGATTTGATAAATACTCGAGTACGTGCAAATGTTTGTGAAAACTGATGATTTTACTTTTAAAGAGTTATTGATTGGTTTCACAATGAGGCACCACATTGATAAGAAGGCAAAGTCATCAACATTGCAATTCATTATACATTTTAATTAGTTCTATATGAACTAAAAGATATATCAAATACACTATACTACTCCTTATTGAAATTTTAGATAAGGATTCCACTAAGAGCCGAATTAAACACAATCTACACTATGGTTCTATAATTCACCGGCCAACGGGCCGGGATCAATGCTAGTATAGTAATAAAACAGTGCTCAAACGCATTTTGAGCATTCACAGAACAATTGAGGAGGTTGTCACGCTAACTCATTCTGCATTGTACCTGATAAATAGAACTATTAGTAGTCAATGAAAGGGAACATGTGTAAATCATATTAAGTAAACTGCACTGCTGATGTGCTTATTAATTACTATAATATTATAATATTATTAGTAATCGTAGCTAGCTAGCTACTAGCTAGACAATGAAATAACAATTATTTATGAGTGGTAATAACAGTAAACCTATATGTTGGGGATCTAGCTAGTTTAATTTACGTTCGATATATTTGTATTGAGAAAGCTAGCTATAGCAGAGCTTTATTTAGCGATTACTTCAACACTGCTAGCTGCTTCTTCTCAAAATGAAACTTGTGGTTGGATACGTAACCATATAGCTTCATCACTTCACTCCATATGTTTGTAGTCCTGGCTGCCATAAGGGCTGAGCGCCTCAGCCAGAAAGGAGTTCTTCCTCCAAGAGCTCAACCCCATTTCTTCACAGATCTCATCGCTGTGATTGATGCTGTAAGTGGAGATGCAGTGCCTCTGGTAAAACCTCGTCGTCTTCTTCATGATCTCGATCTCCTGCGATATATGCTCGCACATCTTCTCCACCTTGGGGAGCTTGAACTTCTTGTCCGCCAGTCGTGCCAGCCAGATGCTGCGGAGCTCGGCGGTGTGGAGATTCGCAACGCTCTCGATGTAGCCCACGAAGGCCATGTTAGGTATCAGTGGGTTGATCGTTCCCCTGCGCCATCAGCACACTTAGTACGATTAAACGAAAGCAGACTCATATGGACTTGAAGTTTGTATAGGTCTGAATATCATGTGATTGACTGAACATATATGTGTCTTTGGAATTTGAATAGACGACCTCTCACTCACAAAAAATAGGTTCTGATTACCATGTTAAAAATCATTTGATCCAGTAATTCAAGTTGTTGAGAAAAATATGGACTTGAAGTTTGTACACGTCCGAATTTATCATGTGTTTAACAGAACATATATATGGGTCATTGTGATTAGAACAGAAAACTTTTGTGATAGGCTCAGATTACTATGTTAAAAACCATTTGATCTAGTAATTCGAGTCGTTGAAAAAAAGTACGTACCTGTACAAGGGCATGACACCAGAAGGGTACTCGAGGAAGCTACGGAAGGGCTCGGGGATGATGTCGGTGAGCTTCTTCTTGCCATCGTAGCCGGTGGCGAGGAGGACGAGATCGGCGTCGAGGCGAGTGTTGTCGTCGAGGAACTGGAGGCCGGTGGTGGTGAAGCACCATTTGGAAGCTCTCTTGAACAAGATGTTGCCCTTGTCGGCCTCCGGGAAGAAGTCGTTGGGAGTGATGGCCATCTGGCAGGACGCGTAGTCTTCCACGAACGGGTGGTCCGGATTCAGCCCGTACTTCTGGAGTGGGAGCTTGTGGAGAAGGTACGACTCTATGAACTTGGAAACCGCATGCCTCTGCATGCACATGCATGATAATAAAGAGTAACCATCAATATGAACATTACTACATTAGTTAGTAATAATACGTCGGGTTACGTTTCGTGTACGTGTGATCTCAATCGTTGGATGCATGTAATGTAACGAGATCTGTGGGAGGGAGAAATTTGATGTTTTGTTACCAGTGGGGAAAGGAGGAGGCAGAGGAAGGCCCTGAGGAGGTTCTGGTTGGGACGTTGGTGGATGAACTGGGAAGATCGAGTGGAGAAGAACAAGAAGAATGGGAGCCCCCAGACCCAGTAATGGGGCACGGTCCAGTGTAAGGTTCTTATCACCATGGTGCACGGCTTCCCTTCTGGACCTGCATTCACATATTAATTCATGGAGATTGAATTCACACCTTGGAGAAAGAAAGATGTAGCACTACTGCACTAGCTAATTGGCTTGTTCGCAATAATTTTCTACAACGAAGTCATGGTTAAGTCAGAAATATGTCAATTCAATCAAAGTCGTCGCTCGACCCACAAGCCACCAAACCCAAAAAAAATTATGGGTTACTGAAGTTAAGGTGATTTAGGTTTCATGTTATAAAATGTTCACATCAATCCTGAGTTCTCGAACTGAGTTCGGCTCCGGTAATAATTTATCATGTCTAAGTAAATTGTGAAAGTAAGTTATCACTAGGGATGGCAAATTACCCACCCATTGGTAATTATACCCAAATCCAAGTAGACCCATTGATAATGGGTTGGGTATGGGTGAAGTGCATATGGATTTGGGGGTTTATAGATGGGTTTGGGTAAGGTATGAATATTGCTTCCATAATCTAAATGGGTATGGGATGGATATGGATATCCATTTACTTGAGGGTGATTTAACTAGGGGTGGCTATACGGTCCGGTCCGGTTAAATTGGACCAAATTAATCCGGTCCCAGTCCGGTCTTTTCGGGAATATAAGGACCAAAGATTGGATTGGATACAATCCGGTCTTGATTCGGTCCGGTCTTGACCTGATCCGGTCCCAATTTGATCTTGATTTTAGGTGTTGGGGGTCTCTTATCCGGTCTTAATCCGGGTTTTTACCTCAAATCTAAGCCCGAATATGAGATTGGATTGTTTGTTATCCGGTCCGGGTTATACGGTCCGGTTTCGGGTAAAACCAAACAGTCTAGGACCAAATAGCCAGCCCTAGTTTTAACTATACATGCAAAAATTGGACCTATTTGTAAAACTTGAAAAGTTTAGGTACCAAAATGTAAGACAAAAAAATTTAGGTACCGAAACATAATTTTTCATCGATATTTTTGAGGACTTATATGCAAAAAAAATAAATTTAGGTACTAAATATGCATATCTATTAAGTTTGGGCACCAAACTGTAATTTGTATTTGGGCATGGGTACAAACCCAAATCCATTTGATATAAATCCAACTCAACCCATAGTAAATGGGTATGAGTACAAACCCATCAAACTCTACCTATATCCATCTATTTGGATTTTATACCCAACCCAATTGAGTTGGATAGGAAAAAACTCATGGGTTTGGGCAAAGTTGTCATCCCTAATTATCACGGTAAAAGATGGAACTTAAATAATCTTAACAAGAGAAACATCTTAATTTCTCAAAGCAAGTAGGTTTAGAATCTTTAGTTAGGCTTCCAGTTAGAACTGAATGATCAGTGGTCCAATCAGTCTGAAATCTACCTACCTACCTTACTGAGTGAAAACAAAACTGAAGGACCACTAGCTATAACGCCCTGCTCACTGTAGACTGGTAACATCTCTATCAACAATATAGTATGTAGTAATTAATATTCATTTTATTTTTTACGCGGTAGGGTTTGTTTTATTATTCAACCGCGTAAAAAAAATTATGCATGCACGACAGGGTACGTCTTTCTCACCAGACATGTTTATGTGATGTTTTCCACGCAAGATTTGACGACCAGACCAGAGTAAGTAAACAAACAGTCCTACTTGATCGATAGTGCTACTTACCCAATTATTTTTTATTTGGTCGGTCAGCGCTGTTTGCTTTTTTCTAAGTTGTATCTAAGGTAACATTATTACAGTTTGACATTTCATAGATCTTTTTTAATTTGTTTGTCTACCTTGACAAATGATATTTTTCTCGACTTTTTTGGTCATTAAGTCCAAATGTGATGGTCAAATAAATAAAAGCCATGTTTTCATAAGAAAGGGTGGTTTGTTTCAAATTGTCAACCAAATTTTCAGCTAGCTAGCCTTGATATACAAGAAGTTTCACTCGTACACAATATTCCGTCATAAAAAAACAAATTTGACTTATACTATCAGTACTTCATAAGCTTTGTTTGACCCCTTTTTCTCCAGTAAGCGATGTAAATAAACTACATCAAGGCTTGCAAGCTGTATTGATTTATATTTCCAAATTTCATATACATCCAAATTGAATTACTTCAGTAAATACTATAAAATTGTTATGAGAAAAAATGGTACAAATTAAATGTGTATTATAAAGATTTTTTTGACAATAAAAAAAAATCTTTATAATACACATTTAATTTGTACCATTTTTAAAGATGCAAATACAGTTTTCACTATAATTTTTTTAATATAGGTGCCAACTAAATGGTACTATAATTTTCTATACCATAATTTTTTTAAATAAAAACACCAATATTATTAAACATTGTAAAATTCCTTGTAATATATAACCCGAGGGACAAACACAAGTTGCGGTGAGCCAACAAGTCGTTATCATGCGACTTTTACTTCATATATATACTTACCGAGTTTTCTTATTCTTTTGTTTGACTATCTAGGCGAATGTTCCCTATTTAATGTTTGACATGAAAGTTCCTCCCCATGCACGCTCGCTCGACTCCTTTCTTTTAAGTGGAAAATATGCAATTATATATATACATGTCTATCTAAATTCTAACGCATCTTTCACTCAACAACACTCTGTTTCCTGACTGCCTGTCAGCCTCTAAGAAAAAACCAGCTTTCTAGATTTTTAAAGTATTATTAACAACCATCCACAATATTTTTAAAAAAAAAAAATACCATCAACTAAAAAGAAAAAGGAATTGAAACTGCAAGATTGACTTAGAACAACGTCAAAGACATGCAAGAAGTTAAAAAAAAAGTCCAAACCCATGGAAGACAATAAGATACAGACAGGCCATGTCGTTTTTTTTCTCGTTATTTCTAATTTTCTATCAGTTCCCACTGACAATTCAACATTTACGAAAAATGTCGTTAACAGAGAAAATAAGGCAAGAAAAAGTACCTTGGTTTGCTTGAGCGCATTCCACAGCCAAATCGATAGCCGATTTCTTGAAGCCGATGATGGCAACCTTCTTCCCTCTCATCAACTCCGTCGCTTCTTCCTTGTCCAGTTTGCAGTAATCCATGGAGTGCATCACCTTCCCCTTGAATATCTCCGGCCCTCTCTTCTGCGGGAACTCTGGTATTTTCGGTACGTCACCATACTTCCCCGTGCACACCACCAGCATTTCAAACTCGTACCACTGAAATATCCGTAAAAAAATGAATTCTTACGATATCGTGTCAGGACGACGAAGTTATCGTAGGAACTCCATAAAGTTGGCCTAGTAGTAATGCGAGGATGAGAACAACCAACGAAATATATACCTGTATGGTACTCTCCGGACCATTGGGTCGCACAGCCACCTCCCAGACCGGGCGGCCGGGGAGAAGGGCTCCATACTCACCGTCACCGCCGGTTTGGTGTAGATCATGACGACCACCTCCATCGCCGCCGACGAACCTGATCTCCACCACCTTGGTGTTGAAGTTGACGTACTTGAAGAGATCGAAACGGTGAGCATAAGACGTGAGGTAGTCCAGAATGTCGAGGTGGGAGGGGAAGGTAGGGTCGTCCCTGTTGGGCCAAGGGAAGTCGGCGAACTCGTAGTCCTTGCGCGGGGACTGGAGCTTGGTGGAGTGGTAAGAGCAGCTCTTCCACACGCCGCCGATGCAGTCGCCGGCCTCGAACACCACGGGGTCGTAGTGGGCCAGCTGCTTCAGAGCCGCCACCCCACTCACCCCGGCGCCGATGATCCCCACTTTCGACGATCTCACCACGGCGCGGCTCTGGCTAGCCATGATGGATGGAGAGCTTTGGAGAAGTTAACTTTTTAACGTTTTTGGGTTTTGAAGAGGAGGAGGAGATTATTGGTGTGTTGGTGGGAAATGGGATGGTGCATGGTTCGTGTATTTATAGGGTTATATGAATGAGCCTACTGTGGGTCTGAATAGGGGTGGCAGTTCGGTTACCTGTTATCGGTTAATCGACCGGTTAAACTGATAACCGACTGGTTATTCATTAACCGGTAATCGAAGTAATCGAATTTTGGTCGATTATTGGAGGTTGGATGAAATGGTTTGTGGTCTTAAAAGTGGTTCGGTTAATCGATAACCGAGATAACCGAGAAACCGAAGCCTATTTCGATCGGTTTTCGGTAGGAGGAGTGGTTATTTCAGTTAACCGATAACCGGCCGATCAGTTACCGATTATAATCGAAATAACCGAACTGTCACCCCTAGATCTGAAAGCATGTGAACTTGACTAACCTATAGAGAGAGATAGAGGACAGAAGAGGTGATGACAACGATGACGACTATTTCTCGATCAGGGGAATATAATTCTACTTTCCTTTTGTACATAGTGGTCGTTGTTGATACGATGATATAGTATGAAACTAAGATTTTCTGGTTAGGAAGTGTGGGAAATTGATGGGGTACAAAGGCGGAAGTTTCCCTTGTGAGCAGTTTTGATTTGGGGGGGGTTGGTTTGGTTTATAGGAGGAAGTATAGTAGTATTCCGTGGATGGTATTGGTAGGTTGTGTTGAATTATTAATCTTTTTAATTTCTGTTCAAAGTCCAACTCACAATGTTTGTATGTATAATAATTATTTAGATTATTGATTAATGATATACGTTGAAATTTCGTTTGGGTCATATATATTTGAATACCAAGTAAAATGTAGGAGTGATGATGAGATGATCATATGCATGTGGCCATGCAGCATGTGTTTGTTTTCATATAGGTGGTTTGCTATATATACTTTCTTGGCAATGGCTTAGGCAATTGTGAGAACACCTTCCTTGGGAGTCAAATGCTTGTTTATTTAGAGATTAGAAAAGTTACATATTAAAAGAAAAATAGTGGTTGCAAAAGATTCAAGATAGCATAGCAAATCCATTCAAGTCATTAGACCCAATGAAAGCGTTCACATATGCACACCCCCTTCACCTGTGGATATTTAATTCAATTCGATTTGGTTATATTGGATAGACCTCAATATTGACCGATTTCGGGTTTCTAACCATCGCCAAAGGTCCGTATAACCCTCGCTAATGTACAATTTTGTTGTAGTGGTACTATTGAATTATGCTCAAAGGTTAAGAAGAAAAAGGGGAATTTATGTTATATTAAACCTCTAGAAACAGAATAAGAGTTGCAATAGGAATTATAGATGACAACCGCCATAGGGGCTATCTGGCAAAGGATCAAGTACATACAGTTACGTACTGGGAAAAAAAAAAGGATTCATTTTATATATCTACAAATTGATGTAAGTTTTTAACTTATTCGGATAAAAGAATTTGAACCAATTATACAACCATCGATCTGTTACCATCGTGAATTTCCAACACTTCTTACCACCATTATATATTATGTAGTAGTGATAAAAAAAAAAAAAGGCTTGACTAGCTTTCTTTTTATTTCAAAATATGTTAAGTGGATGACATTATTTAGAGCATAATTAATATGACTTTTTTACACAATGATATATTATATATAGACCACTTTCTATCACTGTGGCATAATATTTTGTATGTACCACCATAATATATCATGATATATTATACAAAAAATGTATTGATTTTTTCTGTGTTCCAAAATATATTAAAAGTGAATCTAATTTTCTATGTCTAAAATTGATAGAATAATTTGAATTTCAAAAGGGGATTATATCGATATTATCTTGAAGAGATATACAAATACAACGAGAAATCTATGCAGGCAATCCAAGATGAAGTGTTAATAAAATTAACTACAATTAAGTATATGGCTAAATTTTCCGTAATCAAACTTGTATAAAATTATGAAAGTGGTAAATTGTACAGGTTTTGTAGTTTTTAATTGAGACTTTATGGAATTTTTAAGGTCTAAAGATTTTAGAGTAAAATCAGGATCGGTACATATTTTAAATTGTAAAATTTTAAATTTTTGGAATTAAAATTGAGATTTTGACTACATTTCTTATAGCCCTACCTCAATTTCCAAATATGATTTAAAATCTATGGTGAATTTGTGGTAAATTTAGTTACCCACATTTTCTTTGGATTAGAACCCAAAATTATGAATATTAGGAACAATAATAAGTATTTCTCTCTTTTTTTCCTCCAATTTTATGTAGCCTCAATTTGAAATTGAAACGTCAAAAATCTATGTCCTTCAAATTTTTTTATTGTGGTCCTTGCTGATTCACGCGGGATTCCACGTGCCTCATGTTACTCGGGTTAGAGCGAAAGCTAGTGTAAACTAACAGTCGAATTTGAATCACTAATCATACTATTATCAATTTAAATATGTTTTAATGAATTGCAAGTTAAATCATATTAAAATTGTAATGATTAATGATAAATCTTAATTTTTGATTGCATATAAATACACCATATATAGTTAATAAAGAGTTTGTAAAAATAGATAATTTGTAAAAATTACAAATTGATGTTTTCAAATATTTAATGTAATATTAGAAACAATTTCTATAAATCATTTAAATGGGGCAGAGTGCAAATGTAGTCCTACAAATGTATTATGAATGTCTTAATGTGCATTCCAGAATTTTCGAAACATGAAACATGTGAGCATCATCGTAACACGCTCCACCTTCTTCCCAAAGGATTTGAAAATGAATCGAATGGGAAATTCTGATGTCACAATATCTCCTTTTTACTTCTTCTTATTTAAAATTGGTACAATGAATTATTTTTAGAGATTATCAGCAAGATGATTCATTATAGTTAGTAAAATAAGATAGGGTTACGTACGTTATGTATAGAATATGTACGGGTATTTTACGTCATCTCTAAAATAATGATATGTTTAATATTACGTTAATAGTTATAAAATATGTGAAATTAATTATTTTAAATATTACTTAATATATAAATAATAGTTAAGTTAGGAATTTTATTTATCAAATACAAATATTAAACATGTTATACGGGTTTTATACGTATTCAATACATGTGGCATAAAATCCACGAGAAAAAATAAAATAGGTAGACAATAATATGGATACGAAAGTTTTAAATGGATAAAATACATACGGACATATATACATGAATTGAACAGAATTTTTAATAATTTTATAATAAAAATTATCTTGTAATAATTTCTACAAAGCATTCATACCTATCTTATCAGAAATCCCTTGGTACGATCGACCTCAACCCTCCGATCTCTTTGTTTTTCTAGGTTGACAAGGCACAAGCACAATGCTATTAGTCAGCCTTTTAAAAGGATGTGCCAAAATCATATATGGGGTGGGGGTTGGTCTTGTGTATACATTCACGAAGAACAGAAGGATGAAGCTCATGCATGAACATGGGACGATTCGCAACAAGCCGACAAGCCGTCCAATTCACCCTATATACATCACGAGGTTACATGACTTCGAGAAACCTGTTGTTTCATAATTAATTAAGTTATAGATAGAGAGGTGTCGAACGAGAAAATAATAGCCCAGGAAGGATGGTGTACAATTACTCTATATCCCCGATGAATAGTGTATCTTTTATGTAAGAGAAGAAAATGGAATTGGAAATATCCAAGAATGTTGGAAGAAGGTGGCGGGAAAAATCGCCCAGAGAGGGAATGACTGAATGAGTCTATATTAGAATTAGAGTAAAGGATTCTCTGAACAATCGAAGGAAAGTTGACAAGTGCCTGATGTCCACGCCTCTCTCTCTCTTGGAAATTAGATCAAAGTCAGTGCCAAATACTGTAGTGATGAGTTGGTCTGTCAATGGTTTTCTTCCTTCGATTCCTTTGATCCTTTCCTTTCCCTGTCCTTATACTCAAGCATGCAGGTACTTTCTACAACCTTGGCGTTTGTGTCATGATTTTGTTTTCTACGTTGCTTCCTTTGTTTCCTCTTCTTGAATGAGACCCGACTATGACATTATTATTGCCAAAACCTTGAACTTTCTGTAGCTCTTATCATTTTCGTTCCATTCTTTCTGTCGACCATTTATATAAGGAAAAAAAATGTTGTTGGATTTTCTAGGAGACAAGATGTTCGACTTCGTCCTATGAGAGCTAAGAGCCCCAGATTTGTATATGGACTTTGAAGTTTGGGGTAGAGCTATGTGATCAGATACATTGAATGTAGTTTATTTAATTATCGTAGTAGTTGGCTTTGATTTGTGAGTACTGAGTTGCGATTAAACCACTAAATTACATATCAAATCATGCACGATTTGGTTAACCCGTAATTTGTGGTTAGTGGTTTGGTTGTACTAATTATTAAATCATGCATTTTGCGTTCACTAATCATGGCTCGACAAAATCACAATAGCTACAAATGCTACACATACATGTTAATGTTTTTATAAATTTTAGCTAGCTAGTACTTAATATTAATAAACGTACTTGTTTTTCAGTGAGAAAACTTGTTTTGAAATCGAATTGATTGTACCTTTGACTTTTTCGGATAACGATTACTAAGACACGGCTCATCACTCACACTCCTACTCCTATCGAGGTTCAGCGAGAGCTCCACACTACGAACTACGTCTATGGCTACATGATAGAGAAAAGGTAAAGGATAAACTTGACATGTGTGTCAGAGTGTTGGTTTGGGAACCCTTTCTCTATGAACCCCTCCTCCTATTTATAGCCATGAGGTAGTCACCGTAGTAAACAACCGTCTAGAGAGTAACTTCCAAAAAGAACGGTTTCCCTTCTTCCTTGGACGTGGCTGATGGGTGCTTGAATGTGGAAAATTGAATGTTGCTCGTTAACCGCCCAAGTGTCTCTTACTTCTCGAACTGAAGTCTTGGTGTTTTCCTCATCTCCACTAGGACC